CTCTATAGTTCGGCTTCATGGGTAGTATTGCTTGATAACATCTTGAAAGTTTATGGTGAAGTTATTCCTACTTTTCCCATGAACTGTGAGATCATGACTTGAGCTGAAATCAAGAGTCGGACTCTCAACCGACTGAGCCACCCAAGGCGCCCTTGATTCATCACCTTTAAACAGTGTTTTCTGATCTTCCTCATTCTCATATAGTGATAGCACTAATCTTAATTCTTCTTTAGTCACATGAAATTTGAATCATTATACTTGAATGTCTATTTTTGTTTTATTAACTATAAATAGTGCCTTTTCACTCCTACTTTTTTTTCCCTACTATTTTGTAGTCTGAGTTTGTTTGCTTAATGTATGATGAATACATTACTTGGTCATTAAATATTCTATAAGGTCATTTTCATGACTTCATATCATTTTTATTTATATTGATAATATACCTAATTCCAAATTATTAGACAATAATATTATTATTATTTATTTAGTTATTTATTTTTTACATTTATTTATTTTGTGAGAGAGAGACAGAGCACAAGTGGGGTAGGGGCAGAGAGAGAATGAGACACAAAATCCGAAACAGGCTTCAGGCTCTGAGCTGTCAGCACAGAGCCCAACGTGGGGCTTGAACTCACAAACCGTGAGATCATGACCTGAGTCGAAGTCGGACACTTAAGCGACTGAGCCACCTAGGCGCCCCAGATTATTATTTTTTAATTACAGTATAGTAAACATTCGTTAGTTTCAGGTGTACACTGTAATGATTCGATAATTCTCTATATGACTCAGTCTTCATCAAGATAAGTGTACTTTTAGGGTGCCTGGGTGGCTCAGTCAGTTGAGCATCTGACTCTTGACTTTAGAAGGTGTTGTGATCTCGGTTTGTGAGATCCAAGCCCTGTGTTGGGCTCTGCACTGAGAGTGTGGAGCCAGCTTGGGATTCAGTCTCTCTCTTTCTCTGCCCACTCCCCCCACCCCTGCTTTGCTCTCTTTCTGTCTCTCAAAATACGTAAGCAAACTTTAAAAAGTAAAGGTAAGTGTACTATTAGTCCCCTTCACCCATTTCACTCATCCCCCCACCCACCTTTCCTCTGGTACCCATTAGTTTGTTCTCTGTAGTTAAGAGTCTGTTTTTTGGTGTATCTCTTTTTTTCTTTCTTTGTTTGTTTTCTCTCTTAAATTCCACATAGTTCACTCCTTACTTTTAAGATTAGGACACAAACATCCACTTACTTCCATTCTACTCCTTCTATCTTTTTATATTATCAGGACTGATAACATTTATATTTTTCCGTGACAGTTATTAAGTCTTGATTAATTTGCAGGTTAATCCTGAAAGGTCAAAAATCTTGAAATCCTGAAAAGTCAAAAACCAATGAATAGTTTTTACCTTTCTATGAATAATGACAGTGTTTTTCACTGTAGAGCTAAGTAAGGTGCTAGGATTAAATTTCCTTCTTGGTGGATCTTTTTTCACTAACTCTGGCCACTCAGTGGGAAATACTCTTGTATTATTAAATTTATTCATTCATTCAATGATATATATTGCTGCCTTCTCTACTCACCAAGGGTCATTCAAAGCACTGGATGTTAAGAAGTTAGAAGTGTAAAAATCCCTGTTTTCTTGGAGCTTACATTTGAATGAGATAAACTGATGGATATGTAAAATAGTATGTCAGATGGTGACAAGTGCTTGGAAGAAAATAGAGCAGTGAGGGGGAACATTGAGTTCACGGGATAGGGATAGGCGTGGAGGAGATTGTATCACTTTCTGCAGAGCCTGACAGGAACATAATGTATGCAGGGTTTCTTGTAGTGATTCGTGTATGTGGGGAAAAAGGACCCACTGAATTTATCTCCTGATGGTCTTCAAAAATTTCAAGAGTTTTTTTTTTTTTGTTTGTTTGTTTTTTAAACATTCAGGTAGTTTAACAGTTTTCTAAATTTCTGATGATGTGAAAACATTTATATTCTTTTTGTCAAATGACCTCTCCCCTAGTGTCATCTTCCTGTTCCACTTCAGAGGGATTGTTTTCTAGGCCTGCTGCAAAGTGAATATGCTAAAAGTTAATACTGTTTTCATGAGTTGGACCCATTGTTTACTAGATCCCATGTGTTTTTTTCTTTATCATTTCATTTTGTAGGAATGTAATCTCAATAATTTACTAAAAGAATGTGTAGAAAGTAAATTTTGTATCTTTGTTATCTTAAAATGCCTTTTATTTTGATAGCTGGCCAATGGTTTTGTGAATTAAGACAACTCTAAATCCAATACGTTTCCCTTAAACCTTTGAAGTTCTTCACTGATATCTATATCTATATATCTATATCTCTCTATCTCTATCTTTATCTCTATCTCTATCTCTATATCTATGTCTCCACACACAGACACATATATATATCTCCTCTTTGATGTATTGTTGCTGATGAGAAGTCAGTCTGGTTTATTTTGTTGTTTCTTTGTAGATGCACATGTATATGTATATGTATCTTTCTAGGTATCTTAGAGATGTCATCGACTATTTTAATGATATAGTATTCGTTAAATATTATTTTGTTGAGAATGAATTTACCTTGGTACATTTTTTAATTCTTCCATAGTGGTTCTGATTATAAGTCATTTTTTTCTTCAAAAATTCTTTATACATTTTATAAGATTCAGATAGGATGTATCTTAATTGGGAAGTAATTTCTCTCTCTGTAAGCCAGTGTATTATTTTCTTTAGTGTCTGGATTGTTTCTGATTATTTGGGAAAAGAAAAATAAGAGAAAAAGCCAAACTTTCTTTTCCAGTGAGATTCTAATGTAATTTTTAAATCATTGATAGATATTCCCTTAATAGGGACGCAAATTAAATTTGTTGCTTGACTCCATTCCTGCACAACCCTATTTGAAAAATTGTAGACTCCTTCCTTCTTTTTCCTTTGTAGAAGTTGGCATGTTTATACTTCATTAGATATAAACTAGATGAGCTGAAGGATCTTAGTAATATTTGCTGAATAAATGTACTGTAATTCTATAAGTAAATCTACTGATCTAATTAATTATAGATATGATGCTTACAATGTGATTTATTTATTATTTTTTGTTGTTTCAACTTTTTATTTAAATTCTAGTTAGTTAACATACAGTGTAATATTGGTTTCATGAGTAGACATTAGTAGTGAGTCACTTACAGATAATACCTGGTGTTCATCACAAGTGCCCTCCTTGCTATCCATCACCCGTTTAATCCATTCCCCACCCATCTCCCCTCCAGCAGTCCTAGGTTTACTCTCTATAGCCAACAGTCTCTACAATGTGTTTTTTTTATTTTTTGAGAGACAGAGAACATGTGTATGTGGGTGCATTTTAGTGGGGGAGGGGTGGGGAGAGAAGGAGAGAGAGATTCTTTATTTTTTTAATTAAAACATTTTTTTAAAAAATTTACATCCAAATTAGTTAACATATAGTGCAACAATGATTTCAGGAGTAGATTCCTCAGTGCCCCTTACCCATTTAGCCCATCCCCCCCTCCCACCACCCC